AAAATCAAAACATTGAACAGAATCAGGTCCAGGGCAGGCACTTGTCACACTCTGTGTGACACATCCTCCAGTTTAGACTGTGTACCAGTGATTGCTGCTCTCAGGCATCCACTGGTTTTGTACTCACGTTATAGCAATTTTATTCTTGCTCATGCATCCCTAGCACCTAGTATTCTTATGAAATTATCATACAAGACCTCATAAAACTGTTAGTAAAGTCAGGAGACAGGGACCCTGCTGCTTCCATCTTGCCTGTGAATTCTGTTACTCAGTTCTGGAAGAATCCGCTTTTCTTTGACACAATGTATTCATGAAGGATTTATGTCACTTGCTCTTTTTCTACCTGTCCTCCAGGTACTTGGAGACACTTGTTTATTTTACTTATTCCAGATTTCTTTTTTTTTTTTTTTAACTGAAGTGAAACTGGATTTAATGCCTCCCTTCCACTTTTTTAAACTCCATTTACCCTTTTGCTGTCCTCTGAGAACTCTCCTGTCTTCATTCCAATCTTACAGCTGGAAATAATACCTGTTTTGGTTTGGGGATTATTTGTGTTAGTCTACAGCTCTTGATGGATTTTCTTTTGTAAAATTGATGCAAAAAGGTCATGTAACACTTAATCCTTCTTGCAATCATCTATAAAATGCTCTCCTTTTTCCATTGGTTAATGGATCAATGTTTTCCACACTCTTCCCCTTATTAACAGATGATCTCATACACTGACTTTTTTTTTTTTGGTGTTATTCTTCATGCTTCTCCTTTGGACACCTCCCACTTGAATATTTTATAGCTGTTTTCCTGTGTGCTGGAATAGGTCTCACACATGATCTTAGTAGTGTGACCAGTTTCCTACTTTGTTTGCTTTCTTTCTGAATTCAATTAAGACATGATTTAGCCAGTCTTATCTTCTGCTGTACCCATCTCTCCTCTGCTTTGGGGAAAAATACAGCTGTGCAGCACAGTTTCAAGGTTTGCATTTTTAGGATTCTGATGTTTTTAAAGTGATGGAAAAAGAGAATGGTGACACCCCACATTAGGATAGGTCTATTTTCATTTAAAGAATTAGCTAAACACAACTTCCTACACAATAAATATGTGGCTAACTACATGAAGTCAGAAAAGCTCATAAGTTGTGATTCCACTGTGTCACTAACTTGTCCACATCTCATATCAAACGGTCACTGCTTAGCTGAGTTTTTCTAATGATACTTTGGAGATAGTTAATAGGTGGTTTGACAGATAGTATTAGAATGCAAATGCCACTTTCAATAATGATTTTGGTGATTTAGTTGTAATCTTACAATGTCAAGTACTTTGTGCAATGTGGTTCATTTCTAGTTATATAGCAATCTTACCTGTTACTTCTGTGACTTAACTCTGATTTTTGAGACCCGTGCTTTTGTTGTTTCTGCATCTGTTTTAGTTCTGCAAATTCTCATTTTTGCAAAAATGAAAGTCTCTCCTAAAGACTTTTTAATCAAGTTCGTTCACTTATACGGCCTTTTCTGTTTAATTATTCTCCAAATGCTTAAACTCTTGATCCATAGCACAGAAGTACTTGGGAGAGCAGAATTCTGTGCACCAGCTGGACACAGTCAACAATACAAATTCTTACTAAAGGATGGTAGGGATTAGGAGAGTGATGATGCTGTGGATCACAGTGCTTAGTGAGTTATTGCATTTGGGTGGGGGCTGAATTTCCATTTCCTAGTTCTGGTCCACTTCTAACTTAATAACCATGTAAACAAATATGATTCCAGTGATTAAGGTAGCGTGAAACTTTATTTGTAATGGGGAAATTTAGTGAAGTATTTTAACTGCTACATTGCAAAAAGAAAACAGAGAATCCAGTAACTGCAGCTCTCAGGTTACAGCAAAGTTTTGTGGTGGGGAAGAAATGAGTGCCACAGGTGAAATTTCAGTGTGATGCCTCACGAGTTCAATATGTACTGTTCTCCGTGCTTCCTAAGAAATAACACGAAGCATTTAGATTATAGGGTAGAATTTCATTCTTCCTGAAATTTTGGCTGTGCTGTCCTCGAAAATATTTTGCTCAGTTCTTGAATGTACTTTCCTTGAAGCTGTGTGAGCTTCACTCTTAAATTCAAGCTATTTCTACAAACTGCCTCTAGAAAAGTCATTTGTCACTGCCATTAGTCGTTCAGTACAGATATTGTCTGCAGCCTCTGAACTTCATAAAGTGGACAGATCCTTATCAGTAATCAATATTTGTAATATTTGTTAATATAAATCTGTCACTACTGACTCATCATTTGAAATGAATTTGAGACAAAGCACTTTATTATGGGGCTGCTGATCATGGTAGAAGCAAAAGCTATAAAACTACCAGAAGTGGGATCCTTAACTTTGCTGGCACATCCAAGTCAAAATGCATGGACTTGAATCCTCATGTGGAACCCAACTAATAAGCAATAATAATGAAGACTCTTGACACGTTTCCAAATTGCGTAAAGGTCTTCATTAAGATGCAGCAGCTGTTTATTTTCAGGACCACATGGTCTAGTCAGCGTGATAACAACACAATGGAGAGGGATCAGCAAGACTGCCTTTAGTGGAAAACACCCACATCTTTCTTGTCCACTCTAATGGGTCAGTAAAGAAGAGCTGGAGTTGGAGAATAATTAGAGTAATTTTCCATTTATTTTTTCCTTTCCAGTATGCCTTAGGCTAGGGAGGTCAAATAGATGCTAGAGAGAAAAACTGCATCTGGAACTAGTCTGAAAATAAATATGTATCCCATGAGTGGTGCTGTGTACAATTTGCTTAGCCTTAAAAACTAAGTTTGTCTGCCAGTTGATTGCCTGCTTCATCGAGGAAATCTGCTTAGCCTGTATGATTCTGAGAGCTCTTTTTCTTCAGTTTCAAAATCTGAGGGATGTGAATTAACTGTTTCCCATTTCTTGTTTCTTTCAGCTTTCCCTTTCACATATCAGAGTCATATTACTCACCAGCTTCCTTTTGGCTGGTTTGCAACTAGGAGATTTTTTAGGGAGCGGAGACAAGCTCTGGATTTTCCTGCTGTGTAATGAAACTCTAACAGCCTTGAAATCTTATGGCAGTGCCTGACATAAAATAACACCTGACTCTATCGTGTCCTTCCTTGTGATTCAATGAGATGAATTTAAAAATCTGATATGCTTTCTAGGTAGAGGCATACCCTGTTGCACTCTGTGTGTCAGTGCAATTGTATTTATTCTACCTGCTTTAGTTCATTAGTAGTGCAGTGAATGCTCTGAGACCTTGGCACTGCACATCCAGCTATGAAATATGCATCTTGGGTAATTATTTCTGTTCAAGAACAGCTCGCCAATTCCCTGGTTTTGAATGTATTTCAGCTGATATTGTAAATGAAACACGGTGTTAAGTGGTCTTTTGTTTGCTTTGTCTGGTAGTCTATAAGGAGCCCAGCTGACCTATTTAGTAACACCATATTTCTACATTGATCTAAAGTGGAACATGGTCAATAGTAGACTTTGAGCTTGCTTTGAAAGAGAAGGTGATCTAACTCCTTTACTGGGTTTCTCCTGTCTGCCCCTTGCACATGCACTTTTTCTGAAGCAGAGTCTGCTGCTCAGATAGAAGGCAAAACACAGGCCATGGAGTGTGCGGTGGTTTGAAACCGAGCTCTCGTTGTGTAGCCTGTTGAAGAACAAGATCTGTAGACCCCTTGGGCTCCCTTTTACCTGTATCTCAACATATCTCAACACAGCCAAACTCAAAAGTCCACAACAAATAAAAGTAGGCTCTTAAATATTATATAGGGTATACCTAAACATGGTGTTCTTCTTAATCACAGTTTGCTGTTGTGACTGTGTAGATTCCATGTTGCACATTTTTAACATGGCTTATATTTTCTTCTGCAAAGTATCTGTAGTAAAACTCCTTTAATCCTTCTCAAGTTCTTACAAAACTCAACTGAAGCTCCAAGGAGTAAGGGAATATATTTTGGAGTTTCAAAATTTGCTCCATTTGAAGTGATTGAATTTTTAATTTGAGTCACTGAAAAAGCCTCGTTGAAGAGACACGGGTGACTCAACTGTCTTTACTGAACCAATGGAACAATTACACCAGCTTGAAAGAGTGACTTAAATTTTTTGTACTGCCAAGACCTAAATATCAGCCACATGTCACCTGATGTGTATATTCTACTATTATGATTGGACAAAAGAGTATATACTGCCTCACTTCTGGCTAAAAGAGCAGCAACACTTGGGATTGCTGGGTCTTAGCATTCTTGTTAACATGCACTTTTTAAGCAAGTGTTACTTACTCTATTGATTCAGTATTTTGTCTGTCTTAAAATCAGTTTATCAGGATAAAGGTATAGGTTCTGATTTCTAAATATATATTGGTTGGCCTAAACTATCTGCGAGCCTTGCCTTTGTGTTCCAGTTTCTGCTTCAGTGTACCTTCTGGTCAGGCTGTTCTTAGGATTATACATATGTACAGTTTGCAGAGGGAATCAAGCTTATTGTTAAAATTTCACTTTATTTTGAGATAATCTTGAAAGCACAAGGATTTTTATGATAGGACTTGAGAATCTCACTTGGGTGCTTTGTCATGTACTAAATAGCATAATAGTGCCTGTCTGTGTGTTAAAGTGATGAGAACTATCCTCACCTTTGGCGCTTTCAAACAGTCCCACTTGCAAAATGCGTGGGTAAAACAGAAAATGGATAGTTTGTTTTCTGTGAATCCTGGAGATTGTATTGATTGGAGGCACTTGTAACAGCTCAGCATCCACTGGTCTTGTTGAGAGTCTCTTGCAAGACGAAGGATTGCATAGTATTATTACTTTAAAATGGAGAGTTTGAATGGAAAGAACAAGCTGATAGTAAACTGATATCTTAATCTTATCTCTTGATTTTACTGATACTGAAGGTTTTTAAAAACACTGGTTATCTCTTCTGCGGTTTAGAAAATGTCTTCACAAATTTCTGTCCGTTTGATTTTTGTTTTTACTTTTTCCCCCCCCTCAGGTTCCAACTATGGGAGTCCCCGTCCAGCTCATGCCAACATGAACGCCAATGCAGCTGCAGGGCTTGCCCCAGAGCACATCCCTACTCCGGGGGCAGCTCTGTCCTGGCAAGCTGCCATCGATGCTGCCAGGCAAGCCAAGCTGATGGGGAGCGCTGGCAACGCAACGATATCCACGGCCAGCTCCACGCAGAGGAAACGACAGCAGTATGGGAAGCAGAAAAAACAGGGTACCACCACAGCTACACGGCCTCCCCGGGCACTGCTGTGTCTAACACTGAAAAATCCCATCCGGAGGGCCTGTATCAGCATCGTCGAATGGAAATATCCTTTCTGATGTAAACGGCAAATCATTCGTGCCCATCAGGTGCTATTCAGAAGCGTGGGGAAATCAATACCTTAAGCTGAAAGGCGCTGCTGGGAACTTAAAGTACCTGAATGGTTTTGGATGTCTTAACTGAGATCGTTTAGGCAGGGGGAGGGGGAAGGGAGGAGGATTAGAGCTGAAGCCTTAACTACACCTGTGTGTAAGAAACCACCAGAAGTTTAAATGATGAGGGTTAGGAGTTGAATTCTGCTCTTTTGAAAACACGTGGCCCAGGCTGAAATGGATGGGAGATATTCAAAGTATCTGAGGCCAGAATTGAACTGACTCTATGGGATTGATAGCAGCTGCTGGCTTTCCTTTCCCTTTCTGGGACTTTCATGTGGTTTTTTTGTTTTGTTTTGGTTTTTTTTGTGTTTAAATTTTTGTTTGTTTTTTTTTATTTATTTGTTTGTTTGTGGTTTGTTTTAGTTTGTTTTTTTTTTGTGTGTGTGTTTGGTTTTGGGTTTTTTTAATGGTTGCTTTTTTGCAGGCCCTTAGAGGTACCACCAGTCAACAGCTCTGGTACTTTGAATTTCACACTTTTTTTTTGTTAATCACGTGGCATCACGCTTTCTACAGTATGGAGAAAAGAATGGGGCAAAAGGAGGAGGTAAAAAAATCCCCAAGTTTATGCAGTAAGATTCTGAACCAGGGCTCAGGACTGTTAATTTTATTGGAATTCCACTTAAACGAGTAAGGCTCAGTAAGGTATGGTAAGGGATAATGCTTATCTAGAAGAGGGGAAAAAGAAACACGTTACAGTAATCCTGCAACATGTACAAATGCAGTGCAGAGCCAGATCTAATTGTCTGAACATGAGACAGACTGTGCCACAGACAACAGATAACCACTGACACAGAACTGCCCAATGTAAGGGTCAGTGCTGCTTCCCTGGAAAGCCATGGAGAGCTGGGCCAAGGTTTTAAGTGCAAGGAGCAAAGCCCTTCTAGTCACCCAAGTCTGATCAGTGCAAGCTGGAATTTGAGTATTTGGTGTGAAACACAAACTGAAATAAAATACATCTCCCTTGCATCCCTGAAGGGAAAACAATACTAACCCTAATCACAAGCTAATGGGGTGCTTCAGTAAATACAGAAGAAAATGCATGTTTGTAGGCATAGACAAGCAAGTCAAGGGAAAGTAGTACAGAACTTGGCAGTAGTTAGTATGATAAAAAATGGATTAAGGCATTTAAGATAATATGATAATATTATTCCTTTGGGTGTCTGGTGGGATGTTAGAAAGGTGAAAATAAAAAATGAGTATATTAAATATTGCTGACATAGACATATTTTTCAGATGAAGAACTTGGTAAAAATGCCCCTGTCAATTCTTAGATGTCCTTAAACTACCTGCCTACCTATTCCTTTCTTCTTCAGATGCTGATTTTTAATCCCCTGATTAAGTTTGCTACTTTTTATTGCTTCTGACATAGCTCTGATAGCTTAAGCATATAATGATTGATAGTGACTAACAGGATGAAGCTGAGTATTGGTTTAGTTGCCAGCACCCCAGTAACCACATGCCTTTAGAGAAAGCACAGAGTGACATTTGATAGATGAATAAGATCAGCAATGAATGATGGGAATGATGTGTTGTAAACCAGGATACAGCACTGCTGAGATCAAGAGAGGACCAAACAATGCAATTAAATCAGTCCAAAGATGCTGAAGCTTGCATTTTTTTGGTTTTGTTTGGTTTTGGGTGAGTTGATGGAAGTATTTTTTTTTTTCCAGCAGAACCTCTCATTGCACATTTAGTGTTTATAAACATGAAACACTTCAATGACAAGTAGCAATATCAAAGGATTGTGATAAGGTTTAATTTTATTCTGTATTCTGACTTTTCCTAATTGCTAAAAACTAATGAGGAAAGCTTAGCCTTATTTGCTGAACCACTGAAGTTTAAGCATAATAGATATTAAACAAATATCATACAGTACTTCTGTGGCATTTCTTACCCAAACGTTATAGTGTTAAGAGCCCGAAGGTGCAGTTTCATTTATGAAAAAGTAAAACGAATTAATTGCCTTATTTTGCAAAGATTTAGCTCTGTATTTAATTTTCTGCTTTGTCTGCACTGTATTTGTAGGTGTTATATAATTTTATTTTTACGGTGCAATAAAAAGAAGTAAAAGAAAATATACGTAAACAGTGATAAGTTAATAGATGATAATCCTGCCAAAAGAACAACAACAAAAAATCTAGGAAATAAAGCAATTAAGACCAGGAAAGGCTATGGAAATCCAGGTGTTTAAGCAGTACACATTATATAAACAACCTGAGCTATATACCTGAGAAGACTCACTGATATCACATGGAATCTGCCTGCCCTGACCTGCTTTTGTTCCTCCATAGTATCATATATCTCATACTATTAAAAAGCTTAAGCACAGGAGTCTGGTGATTTTGGAATGCATTGAGTCTTCCATATGTGAAATGTAGAATATATTTGAGTATAAACAGCAGTCAGGTGCCTGGGATTTGTGTTTATCTTGCAGTTCAGCTGCACATTAAAAGATCTTCAGTTTTTTCCTACTGAAGCCTGCTGAGAACAGTAGTCTGCTGACCAAAATCCCCCATACTGTGTTGACATTTGGCAGTGCTGCAGAGCCAGTCCCATGGTAGATAAATTCAGGCTCAAATGCTCTCTGTGGCACAGGTTATGCTTGGCATTCTCCCTGTCCCATCCTGCTCTTCATTCTCCTCCAGAGTACTGGTGAGTTATCCCAGAGCTAACCTCCAGGATATGCTTGCAGGCAACTAAATGTAGACAGACTGTAAATCTGGTCTCTAGTCTGAGTTGGGAGACACTTCACAGCAGCTGAGATCAAGGAGTCCACTGAAGTAGATGAAGTACAGTGCCAACAAACCAGGCAGTAGAAAAATGCCCTTTGAATCCAATGGACAGTCAAAGAACATTGAGGTCGCACAGGATTTCTTTGTTGAACATTCCAAATGTTTGGGGTTTTTTTTTGTTCCCCCTTACAAAGTTGCTGCAAGGTTGAAATGCCCATGAATTGTTGCTGGTTTCTCTATCCTAAGGAACTCTTAACTTCCTGGTGTCCCTAATATACTGTGCAGGCACATTTGTAGTCTCTGTGATGCCAAATAAAATGTGAATAAAAGAAAAAGAAATACTCCCTCAAATAATTTTTAAGCAAAACAAGTATACCTGGCAGTGTAAGCACATTTTGGACAAAGCCTTTTTTTTTTGCCTTAACAAAATTTATCATCTTTTAAGCATCTAGCAATGTATACATGTATTCCTTGGACCCTTACATTTAACTTTGAGATATGAGAGAGTAATCGAGAAAGGGGGAAAAGAAATACTGCAACAACAACAAAAGAAAAAAAATTCCAAAAAAACCCCCAAGGAAACCCAAACCAAAATGTTTGTTAAAATTATTTGAGAATTTGTAAATGCAGACGGAAAAAGACCAAGAGAAACTAATCCCAAGAGGAACAAAGGCAGTCCTTCTAGAGCAGGTTTCTGTTAATAAAAATAGTACAGCCACACTAGAAGGAAAATCGGGAAAATGCAATCTAAATAAATTAAAGAAGAAAAAAACTTTTTAGAAATCTGTGTTTACTCTGGCACGCGACTGGCCTGCACTGCTTTTGACATATTAGGAAGATTCTTGGCTGGAAGCTCCTAAGAGCACTTAAAAAGGCATATGCTTCTTTTCAGAGTATAAGGGGCTTGGAATGCTTTCTTTAAACAGAATTCTTATAATTTTTTTTTTTTATTTTATTTTTGTGTGCACATTTTGGAACAATTTCCTTAACTCCATTCCTCAGACCATTTGAAATAATTATTTTACTGACTATTTTTGCCAATTGTGTGGCCTTAGCTATCTATATCCCCTTTCCAGAAGATGATTCCAATGCCACCAATTCCAATCTGGTAAGTCCTTGATGGTGTTTTGTCTTGCTGTTTTGAAAGTCCTTTTGAAAAGGGATCGTAGAGGCTGTTGAAGCTGGGGAACATAAATATATCCATCAACTATGAGAATGTAATAAAAATTGGGTTTGATTGCTATGTCTTGTTTATTCATGTTAGCACCTGTTACAGCTGAGCTGGATTTAGAAAAGAATGTTCCAAAAATTGTGCAGGTGCTGTGTGTGTGGGGTTCAGGTTAACAAATTTCTGCGTGCTGCAAAAGTGCTTGGTAACTTTTAAACTGCAGGTATTTGGGGAAGAAACCCTTCAATCAGGGATTGTATGGTGGTTTTTGTCTTCCAATGTGCTGTTGTGAAACTGATACTGTCCTCCTCTCAGGTGGTACCCGAGAGCACAGCTTGGTGACTGATTTCTGGGAAGTACATTCATGCTTGCATTTCAGACACGTGTATTTATTTGGTTGGAAAGTGTTTGTGTGATTTGTTTGTTGTTTTTTTTTTTTAGTTATGATTTTTTGGTTTTTTTATTCTTCTCTCATATTGGGGCAATATAGCTTTTCTTCTGTCACCACTGATGCTAGTGTTGGTACTTTGGGATAGAGCTGTCCATATAAAAAGGCAAGAGTGTTTACTTTTGGCTTAGCATGAAGCCATAGCCAAGAATTTTGTCCAGTAAGGGCACAACACAAAACAACTCTGGAACACAGTTCCCTGAATTAGCAGAAAACATTTTTTTCCCCTCAAGTATGTGAACAAATCTCCCATTTGTCTGGTTGAATCAGGATGAAAACTTACTCCCAGAGTTTAGGAGCTGGGAGGTTATTTCCTGATTAAAATTTATTGAGACTTGAGAAATTTTAGAGCAACAGAGAAGAAAAACAAAAGCCAAACTTCCAACTAGCAACAACTGGGATGGCTGACAGACCTTGTAATTCAAAAGATTCATGCTGTTCTTGGAAGTCAGTCATTTGATTAAATATCTCTTGAAGTTTAATAAAACACATTACAAACTTCATGAATTGCTGAAACAGTACTTTTTTGTTTAAAAAAAAGAAAAGGAGGGGGGAGTAAAAAATTTGTAGTTGAATGCATTTGCACTGTAACTCCTTTAAGAAATTTAAAAATAGGAGCAGAAGGTGATAAATGATTGTTAACTAATCTCTATATTCAAAATATACATGAGCTGGTCTTTTTTCTCTTTGGCTGCTCCTTGTTAGCATGACTGAGTGTTTAACAGTGGTGAATTGTGGTATAGATGTTTAAAAAATTTGGTGTGGCACCTCTCAAAAATTACTATCTTTAATAAAAAGCAGATTTAATCGATCCTTTGGTGAAAAAGACAGTATGTTCATTGCATGTTCTGACTTCCAAGGCTGAAAGAGGAAAATGAAGCAGATTTGAAGGTCAGAGGATCACAATTTGTCTTGAGTTTAATTGGGTGTGGGTATTTGCCTTAATTCAGTGAGGGGGCTGCTGGCTAATACTGGGTTGGAAGTATGTTCATAGCTGAATGAGGTATATTGGAACTGTTCTACAATCCAGAAATGTGTGCACCTTGCTATTCTGCATCTGTTTTGCAAGACATCTTTTGCATCACTTGGTCAGTCTATCAAAACACTCGTGTTGTTTGTGAGTTGGATTTAAAAAAACTCAGCCAAATAAGAATTATCATCTCAGGAAAGTTTGGAAATGTTATAGCCTTGAGGATGAGGAGGCATTGTTAATTTATCTAAATAGCTGTTTCGCAGAAGTAGAGGGAGAACAAAGTTAAATGAGGAGTCTGCTTGAGTCCACTTTTTGTTCTTTGTGTCCTAATGGAAAAAAAAAATTAAAAATGGAAAATGAGATGCTAATGTATCCCATGAGGGGCTTGTACTGGTGCAATCAAGGCTCTCTTCTACACTAGAGATCAAACCCTTGAGCTCTGACTGCTCAGTAGCTTTTGGTCCTGTTATCTCTTGTTAGTCTGTGTTTGTGGTCGCTGGATTTTGTGTGTTTTGTGGGTTTGTTGCTGTTGTTTTCTCAGTGATATACATGTCTCTTGGCATGGATATACTGCTGTTGAGAAACACACTTTTGGAGTCATGTGCTGCACTTTGTGAGTAAAGTCCTGAGAAACAGAGAGGGGAAACAGAGGCAAATGGGTGAGATAAGGGTGGAAAAAATGTTAGTTGTGTTTTAGAATGGGATGAAAGACTAGATGAAACTTGGAGTTAAAGGAAAGGTATTCCATAAGGCAGGAACTGTACAAGAGTGGGCCTTACTGTGAGAGCCAAACCATACATGGAAGAGACTAGAAAGAAGCTGGGGTTAATAATATGTTTTGTGTAAAAGCTCATCTCATTCTCACTTCATCTTTTTCATCTTTTTCTACCTGTGAGCGTGTATTTCACAATCGAATTTATTTTGTACCTGTGAAGTCCCTGAGCTCCAAAGGCCTTAATCTGATACAGGCAGTGAGTGTCTGTGTGCAATGTGTGCACAGAGGTGTGTACTGAGCAGAGGTGTGATCAGATGTGTGCAGGATCCTTGTAGGTGCCCAGAAGAAATCATCCCTGTGTGAGAACTCTTGATTCACTTCCATTTTGTAATTTAGTCTTTTTAGGGTTAAAGCTACGGCAGAAACTCCCTCATCCCTGGTTTCCTGAGCCATCCCTAACTTCTTGAGACATGACAAACTTTCTGCAGAAAACATGATGGGCAGTAACTGTTTTACAGGGTCTGAAAGTGGCAGTGCAACAGTTTTCCAATAAGCTGCCACGTTTCCCTTAGGGACTGAATATTCCTCCTCTAAGGTTTTCTTATAACTTTTCAAACAAGGTGACTGAAGGTGAGAAAAGAGAAAGGAATTCTGGATTGTGCGAGTGGCTTCTTTCCTTCTCTGTATAAAAGTAAAAAATGATACCTACATAATGTTTTGATGAATAATTTCTCTGTATGAAGTTCATACGTGTAACCAGCCATTGGTCAAACAGGGCACACATAGTGCTGCATGCCTTCCACAGAAGTCTTGGAGGCTCATTTACCTGTACAAAACCATGTCTCCATTTTAATAAGCTTTATCTGCAAGATGTATTTGATGTGATACCACAGTGATGAGCATTGGAACTAACTACAGAAGAGTCCAGTGAGGAATTCCTTCCCTTTTGCAGGAATTGTGAATAGCTGTTATGTATTACAAGTTTAGGCCAAATACCACACGGATATTCTGACTGTTTCTCTGCAATCTGTCTTCCTATAATAATAATTCCTGCAAATCCTCAAACCATTTTTATCAAGTCTAGGGATGGTAACTTGGACTGTGAAGCACTTTCATTTTCTAAATGCACATTTATACTAAACCTCAAATTCCACATTTTTATGCTGCCTGCAGTGTCTTTGTCACTGGATTTAAGAAAAATGCCAGAACAATATAATATACTCATAATAAATGCTTGAGATTGGCTTCAGCAATTTTTATATGTTACTTCTGCAGTGTGTTCCTGGAAAACTATTGAACTTGCACAAGTGGAGGGGAGTCGTATTATATGCAAAATTTTTTTGACATTAATGAAATTGCTGAGACTTTGTTTAAATTTACTTGTAAAGTAAATTTCTGTGCAAAGAGCCATTGTGTATTAGTGCAGTCAGGAAGATTGGAACTAGTTTGAGGGGAATTAAAGTTAGCCTGCATCAGAGGCTGCAACTGATATGGAGGCTTTCTGCTTTTGTCCGTGCAATTATGTATTAGAACAGAGATAACAGAATAAAACTATAGACTGCCTAAGATAGGAAGCTGAGAGGAAAATGTTTCTGTCACTTTACTGGCAACTGCAAATGGCACAAGCCTGGACAATGTCACAGCATGGTGATAACATAATGAGGTTAAGACCAAAGTTTGCAACACGTTCCAGGGAAGGCAGCTCAGTTGGTTGTTTATGCTTTGGATAAAGAGCAGGAGAATATTCCTAGTGTTGTTTTGATAGCTCTGCTTTCCCTTTCTTGTCCTGATTACAGGAAGGAAATCCTGTTGTACACTAGTTAAATTTAAAAAAAGATCTCTCGTGTTTATATGTGAGCTTATAATGGGATGTCACCCTCAGACTAATTTGTTAAACCTGAAATAGGACCCTGTGAAAGGAAAGATGGGATTTCTACTTGCTTGTTAGTGCTTTTGTCAGTTTGTGTCTGCCTACAGAAAGGGGGCTTGCCTTTCAGGAAGGTATGGCTGCTTTATTAACTGGTGATTATGGTACTATCCACCTGAGCTGGTGATTCATGTATTAAAAAAGAAGAAAGTGTCTTTAGATTTATTTTTTTTTTTTTTGCATTTTCAGCAGGCTGACACAATGCATGTGGATGTGACTATCTATTATGTTTCTATATATTGGCATAACAAACTTAAGCATTTTTTTGTGTCCCTAATTCTGGAGTCACCAGACTGAACAGCCTCTCAATTTTTGCTGTGCAAAGTCAGAAACTGTTAGAGAGCAAAGTGTGGGTGAGAGGGTCAGGAAAAGAAAGGGTGGCTTTTCTGCATAAGGGTGAGGAAGAATACTGCACAAAGGCTTTTGGTTCTGTGATGTCACTGCTATCATGCTCCTGTGTGACAGTTTCCAGCTAGTAAGTGAATAATGAGAGATGCTAACATCAGGGGTGAGGTGCAGGGTGGGATAGAGTGCATACCAAGCTAATAAACTCTGATAGGTTTATTACCTTGGGCCTCGTGCCAGCGCTGCTACAGCTGGGGGAGGTTATAGAACTTGAAAAGTGAGGAATAAGTGACAGAAGCTGGAAGAGGGATGCTGAGGAGTTTGGAATGGGACGGGAGTCAGGATGAGGAGAAGAAAGGAGATTTTGCCAAAAAATCCTTCAGGACTTCTTTTCCAGAAAGATTGTGAATTGCTGTGATTCTAAGGAAGTTAAATATGATGGAGTTTAGGCTCAGCATTTCCCAAAGTTCTCAGAAGTCCTGCCTCTTGCAGAGAGAGGCTGATACTCAGCATGTCTAGGTATAGTGAAACA